CAGTCGCTTAACCAACTGAGCCACCCAGGCGCCCATGGCTACTGAACTCTTAAGAAGTGGCTAGTGCAACAGAGGAACCGAATTTTTCAATTTTATTTTACTTTAATGAATTTAAATTTGGATAAATGGCTAGTAGCCACCATATTGAACAGCACAGCTTATAGAACATCCATTCATTAATTCATATGTATATTCAGTAAGCGTCTGTTGAGTAGCGGGGCCCAAACACCATACTGGGAACAAAGAACACCCAATAGACTAGAACTGTGCATCTGATCTTGAGGGACTCAAACTCTCCTTATCCAACAGGACAGATTTAAGAAGGGGTGTCGAAGAGTTGTTTCCTTTGAAAGGTGTAAGGGCTGGGGAAGAGAAATTGGCAAAGTGGCTACGGCTCAGCCTTTGTCTAGCCTGCGTCTGACTCCTGGGTAGCCCTCCCTCCCCACCCCTGTTCTCTCCGTCTCCTCTTCCCAACTCTCCTCTCTTCGAGGTACACTTCCAGTGCCTCCTCCTCCACTAAGCCTTCCCTGGTTGCTTCTCCAGCTGTTTAAAGTAAACTCTGGTATTTTGTCTCCACTCTCACCACTTTTGTTACTTTCTACTTTGTGCTCAAGTTCTGTTTTTTTTTTTAAGATTTTATTTATTTATTTGAGAAAGAGAATAAGAGACAGAGAGCACAAGAGGGAAGAGGGTCAGAGGGAGAAGCAGACTCCCCGCTGAGCAGGGAGCCCGATGCAGGACTCGATCCCGGGACTCCAGGATCATGACCTGTGCTGAAGGCAGTCGCTTAACCAGCTGAGCCACCCAGGTGCCCATGTGCTCAAGTTCTTGATCTAGCTTTGTTTCTCTCTCTGACCAGACTGTTAGCTCCTTGATGAGAGGATTTAGGTTGGTTCTGTCCTTTGCACCCCCCCCATTGCATTTAGTACCAAATATTGCATATCGGAGATGCTTCATACTGTTTGAAGACTGGTTGGGGACCAAGCCTTCCCTTTCTGCCCCTGTAGCTGTTGAAGGGTGAACAAATTACCCCACAAACCCAAGCCCACCACCTAGAGGCCGTAGGAAGTAACTTCAAGCTGAGCCTGTCAAGGAGAGAGGTTTATTTTTCTCAGACTGTTTTGTTTTGTTTTTGACATGTTTCCAGGAATCAATTGTAATGAAAAATCTGCTTTCCATTTCCATTTCCATATACAGGCCATTCTGTTCATCTACAATTAGAATTTATTTTGACTTGATAGTCTAGACTACTTTTATGTGGTCTTATTTTGCTTAAGAAACACAGGAATCTTAAAAAATACAAGATGACTACAGCAGTATTTAAGTGAAATCATGCACCGGAGTGCTTTTATTAATAGAACCACCCGAGGTAGGCAGTGTGATGTCTCTAAACTCACCTGGAGTTTGTTTTGCTGGGTTTGCATCATTTGCACATGTGCCACTGGGTCGGCTTGAGTTCAGGAGAGTACAAATGGAACTGTTTTCATTCTTCTGGGAATTGTGAGCTTCGGGTCAAGGAGGGGGAGGTTTCTGTCTCACCATGGCTTCCGGAGGACTCCGGGGCTTCGTTGAAGGTAGTTTCCATGACCGAAGCTGGAAAGTAGCTGGAAAATGGACATCACATTTCAGTCAGGAGCTCTTGCTGTGTGAGGTATTGTTGTAGGTAGTGGTCTAGATTTTTACTGAAGAATAAAATTTAATACTCCCGGTCACATTGTGAGAAAGGGGCTACTAGTATTCCCAGTTTACAGATGTGCAAATCAGAACCTGGAGAAGTTAAATGAATTAATCAGGGTGTAAATTAACTATTGGGAAGCAGTCGAATGCCCAACGGCCCCTATCCTCAACCATCTCACTATATTGCCTCCTGCATGAGCCTGTAAAAACTAGAAAGCATGTGTTAGAGAATATCAGCCAATGCCTCAGAGGGCTATTTACTTTGTAGGGTAGTTGGTGAAGCCAAGAAAGTCCTTGAAGACATGACTTTGCCAGATAAGAGACAAAGTGCCAAAGAGTTTGTTTCAGACAGCTGGATGCTGTTACCTCTGATCCAAGGTGAGCAGGTAGGAACAGGATGCAGTGATCTTGGCTGAAGTTGCCTCATTGGACTGTGGCCACAGCAAAGAATTCTTCTTGTAAGGACTGAGCTTTCCTTTGTGAGACTTTTTGTTTCATAGTATCAATAGCCATTATGGGAAAGCCACTGCAAATAAAAATCTTTGCCTATAATGTGGAGCCCTAATATATAGTAGGATTACGACAGAAAGGCTCAATACCCTGAAACCCAGTTCAGCTTGTATTTCTCTTTCCCACCTGGGTTTATGGAATGGGAGACAGCTCATCCCATGTTCATTCTCACTGGATTCCTGTATTTTCTTTTCTTTCTTTCTTTTTTTCTTTAGAGAAGGCGAGAGAAAGGGAGGAGAGGTAGAGGGAGGGGAAGAGAGAGAATCTCAAGCAGGCTCCAAGCCCAACTTGGAGCCAGACACAGAGCTCGATCTTACAACCCTGAGATCACGACCTGAGCTGAAACCAGGAGTTGGACGCTTAACCGACTGAGCCACCCAGGTGCTCCAGGATTCCTGTGTTTTCACCCCTGCCCTCAGTTTGTAGAGTTTAATTCCAGGAACTGGGGGAAAAAATAAAAGCAGCAGCTAAGACACCTGAACTAGAAAAGCAGTGTTAAGAGCTGGGAGGTGATGCCCAGAGAGAGCAGAGGACTTGCACAAGGTCACCCCGTTAACTGGTGGCAGAGCTGGAATTAGAAGTCAGGTTTCCTGGGGTGCCTGGGTGGCTCAGTCAGTTAAGCGTCTGCCTTTGGCTCAGGTCATGATCCCAGGGTTCTGAGATCGAGCCCTGCATAGGGCTCCCGGCTCAGCGGGGAGTCTACTCCCTCTCCCTCTGACCCTCCACCCAGCTTGTGCGCTCTCTCTCTCTCTCTCTCTCTGTCTCAAATAAATAAAAACTTAAAAAAAGAAGTCAGGTTTCCTGACTCTCACTCTTTCCATTGTTTTATCTGCCTCTGGGGATTATTCTCTTTGCTCCAAACAGCAGAATGTCACCCATCTTTCAAACTTGTAAGTCTTTTCTGGAATGATATGGGGTAGGGCCTATGAAAATGTATTCACATACATACTTGATTGAATATTTCAGTCTCTTCGCATATTGTCACGTTATATTGTGAACTGAGTGAGAACATGACTTGGGGTCTCCCAGAGACAGGACACCCAAGGTAGGAAATATTGTGAGCACATTTTTCTTATGTCATTTTTCCAGGCATGGAAGTGCCATTTTCCACATTTAACTTATTCACTTTCTCTTATTATATATCCTTGATCTCCTAATTAACTTACGTTCCACTTAATACTGATGTTATTTCACTCTTATTTAAAATAACTAATATATACATAGTACCTTATAGTTTAAAAGGCTTTTTTACATGCACTGTCTCTTTACCTCTTCAAAACAACCCTGCTAAACAAAAAAGGACAGGTAGACTCCATCCTCACTTGGCAGATGGGAAATTAATTTCCTTAAAGGTTCTGTGTCACAGCTAGTTAACCAGGACTCCGGTTCTCTTTACTCCTAGACCAGTGTTTATGCTGAACTGTTCTAGGAATGGTTCTTGCCCCGAAGTGGGTTTCAGAATCTCCCAGAAGACTTATTAAACACAGATTGGTTGGCCCCAACTCCAGAGTTTCTGATCCAGTAAGTCTGGGGTGGGATCTGAGAATTCCCATTTCTAACACGTTGCCAGGGGATGCTGATGCTGCCGGTCTAGGGACCACAGTTTGAGAACCGCTGCTCTGCAGCTTGGCCGTAACACCTTTGAACATTTGGTAGGTAATCCATCCCTCATCTGCTCAGTGCTGAAATCCAAAAAGCTCTGAATACTGAACATTTTTTCCTGAAGGTTGGCACGGTCTCACTTGGCAGCAAATCCCGACCTGCACTGAGGTGGGACTACGTCGTCTTTCTTTACCCCTTGGTGTGACTATTCATACAGTTTACTGCAGAAGCATTTCTCTGTTAGATTACAGGGGATGTCCCACACCTTTCTGGGGTCGGGGGTGTTCTGTAACATACCCGCCATAATTCCTTTTAGAATCTGAAAAACCCTGAAATCCAAAACGCATCTAGTGCCAAAGATTTCAGATAAGGGACTAAAGATGTGTACTAACCTGATATAAGGGGTCACATTCTTTGCTTTTGATTCTGGGAAAGTACCATTTTGGGAGAACCACAGAAGCAGACACATTTGAACTCAATATATAGCTTTTGAGACATCTTTTTGGAGGATTTTTTCAAAGGCTTCTGTCCTTCAGCTGCAGAAATGTTGCTGCCTGCTGAACTGTGAGAAAAAAGTGTTGAGCAGACCTTCCCCCCAGATACCTGGGCAAGTCCCAAGGACACGGTGATCTGGAATGAGTATTTCCTGCAGCTTAATTACCTTTAATAGGGACACCATCAATAACAACATTCACGCTGATGATCATACTTCCTCTAAAGCTTTGATTTTCCACCTGGGAACGAGATGCCATTGAGGCTGCAGATCAGGGTGAGGAGGAAGGAGAGGAGAGCTTAGTATTTTTATTTAATGAGTCAGGCTTAAATCATGAGACAATTATTCCAGTCCCCCAAACATCATTTCATTTAAATGAGAATGCTTCTTAGACCTATTATAAAACCATAAAAAGCACATTCATCAGGAAACATGAACACATATTGTAACTGGATTGCATGAGATTGCCTGAGCTAAAATGAGTTACAGAGAAAAAATATTTTAAACCCTCATGATTCATTTGTCTGGAGCTTACGATTTTATGTTCTAATCCCCGGATCACTGAGGTTCACGGTCACTGAGCTGATGTAGCTGTGGTGCTTCGCCATGCTTTCCAGAAGCCCCTGTCTCCTGGATGGCGCTCTAGAGACCCAGAGCAGTTTAATCATTTTTGGAGACTGGTGTCTCGTGTCTGGAGAGTAGGATGCCTGGAAACATCAGCCTCCCTCCCCAGCAGCAAGGAGGCTCTTTGTTGTCTGGTTTCTGGCCCATGTTTCACATACCCACGTAATGAGCAAACTCCTTCCGCCCTCGTGGAGACTTCTTTCTCCTTCCTCGCTGTGTGGTGCTCACTCCTCTGCCTTCTATGTTCTAGATCTTTGTGCACTCTCAACGAGGTCCCGAACACATTCGCCTGAGTAACCATATCACACTTACAAAGCTCGTTGTGTCCCCTGTTCGGCTACCAGACCCTGGGAGGCCTATTTCCTGTGTCAGGCCACTGTTTCAGTCAAATAATTTGATTCAATGTGTACTTTAGGTCCAGAACCCTGTAGATAGACCCAAAGTATAATCGATCCGGTTTTCCAAAAGGAATAACTCTCTTTTAGCATGATAAACCAACTTGTCAAGCATCTCCTCAAAATGGATACCAATTGTGTTCTTAAGAAACTTCTCTTCTGGGTTCAATATCTTCAACAAGAGCAAGGTTTCATAGTCGAGCACTGTTTAGCAGGGCTGCTGCAGCATTGATTTGTACACTCCATAACCCTCAGGGCCTCCTGATTCGTGCGACTGGTGCCTGGAAGCTCGTGCGGTGCGCAACCTGCAGAACCAAATACGGCAGCTCTTGTTAGCCTCACCCTTTATTAGTAAATATTCCAAGAATACGGGACTTAACTGAACCATCTTCAAGTCCATACATCCCAGTATGTATGGGATTTACACAAATCCCAAGCGGTTAATTCTTCTATAAACCCTGCATTTCTGTCTGGACAGGATCATGATACCGCAAGACCGGGTTTCAAGCTGAAGCCATAGAATGATGATCATAATCGCACCTACCACTTTTTTGAGTGGCTTAGGCCTTGGGCCAGGTATCTGCTAGCTTCACTGAGCAGCCTGCAGCTCCAGCTGTCGATGTTGAGTAATGTTTGTTAAGTTGTCTTGCATCACTTTCTCTTCCTGTCTCATGTTTACTCACTCATAAGAGGCAATTTATAAATGACAAGCCTTGACTATTTATAAACAAATCCTGAAATTCATGACATCTGTGAGGCCAGTCTCAGCCTCTCTGAACTGGCACCATGATTAGCAAATGAATGGCCATCAGCTGAATGGTAAGAAATTAGCTAATCTAGCAGCACGGATTTCTTCGTTAGCACCTACTATGTGCTAGCTGCCATGACCGATGGGGGTGCAGATAATTAGGGACCTTTATGAGGTCCCTGGCAGTATTTCTATTTTGTAGAGGAGGGAACGGAGGTACAGAGCAGATAGAGTAACCCAAGATCACATAATTAATAAGTGGTCACATGGGGGATTGAACCCAGGTCTTGCGGGCTCCCCACTTTGTGCTCTGAATTACTATCCTCTACTATTCTTTCCTCCCTGACCTGCCAGGCTGGCCAGGAGGTAGCCTCCGGATACAACTTTAGATAGAGTGAATGCAAATGCTTTATAACCAGCAGGAAGATCCTTATTTATGCCAACTAAATAGTATTGATAGCACAAATCAGGAGTGACCTCAAGAGGCTCTCTGCCCCATTAGCTAACTTCGGCCAGAAAGAGACAGCTGGGCTCTTGGCTCTGATGGTCTTCCTCGGTGAGTTAATCATAAATAACTCTGCACACCAAGTCCCTTGTTCTTCAACTTGGAACTACACTTCACAGCTGACTCACCCTGCCTGTTCCATCGGGAGTTAATGCTACTCTGATCTAGTCATGTTAAAAAAGCATATGGAAGTGTTCCTCCTGCCAGGATGGGACATTGCCCACTCTGAACATTTTCCAAGCTAGAGTCATCTCCACGAGGCTCTTTGGAGGAGATCTCTGGGGTCTTAATTAAATCCTTGAACCAGCGGTTAAGGGGCATCCAGGCTTCCCCTTTGAGCCCACTGGTGACTTTGAGGGTATGCTCCCCTGAGCCTCTGTCTGGGACGCAGTGTGTTTCGGTCCTTCCATTTTCAGGAGGGAATGCCAGTTCTACCTTTCTCTCATTTAGATGCCATCCCTTGCCAGAGATCTAGCCTGAGGCCTCCAGCCTATCAACTGTGGGTCTCTGATCTTGAAGAAGAAGCATTGAGGAAGATGGGCTGGAGGATGTGGGTCCCCGAGTCTGCCTTGGGTAGGTGCTAAGTTCTGTCTTGGTTTCAAATCAGAGCTCCAGAAAGCAGCATCCTGGGACCTTTTCTCCTCATGGAATTGCCTTTGCATTTCCCAAGGTGTTCTGAGAGACAGCTGTATAAAAATCACATTTTTTTTTTTGCAATATTAATAGTCATGTAGGATGGTATCCAGCCTGTCACCAAATGCCCTACACAAATTTCCACATGAACAAATGCTTTTAAAACCTAATGCCAGGGTGGAAATGTCACAAAACTTTGCTTCTGTTCATGTTGTGTCTTTCCTCCTTTCTGATAAGACCTTGTAATCGTCACCTTTGCCTTTTAGCAAGGAGGCCCAGAGCCCAGCCTCAGTGGTGGCATCAGCCTTTATGATGTGCTCATCCCAACTTGTGTGGTCTCAGCTCTCCGGTTTGACTTCATTATCAATTCTCTACATAGGTTTTGGAAAGAGGCAAGGAATTGATTTTTATAATTAAGTAAACATTTACTGAGTGTTGATTCTGTGCGAGGCATCGTGTAGCAGGGGGAAGAGTTGAATTAGACACAGGATCACAGAGAATTGTATCTAGTGAACTTGTACATAACAACAGGCAAAGCTGACTGTATCAAATTTCTTTTCGGGGAGCAGAAGGGAAGAATCACGGGGAACCTCTGAGAGGAATTGATACCTCTTCCGGGAAGTATGGTATTCGAGCTATGCACTGGAGGATGAAAAGGAATTCATAGATGAGAAGAAAAGAAAGACATGGCAGGCAGGACAGGTGGAATGTCATAGAACAGAGGTTCACACACTTAAGACCTGTAGGCCGGATCTGGCCAACTTCATGTTTGTGTGTGGTCTGGGTGCTAAGGACGGTTTTACATGTTTAAATGATTGGGAAAAAAATCAAAAGAAATATATTTCATGACATGTGAAAATGATATGAAATCTGTTTATTTTTTTTAAAGATTTTATTTATTTATTTGTCATGGAGAGAGAGAAGGAGTGGCAGACAGAGGAAAAAGCAGGCTCCCTGCTGAGCAGGGAACCCGATGCCGAACTCGATCCCAGGACCCGAGGATCATGCCCTGAGCCGAAGGCAGACGCTTAACCGACTGAGCCACCCAGACGCCCCAATGATATGAAATTTAAACTTGAGTTTCTGTAAGTGAAGTTTTACCAGAACCTGGACGCTTCCATTCTTTTACGTATTGCCCACATACTGGTGACGTTTGCACCAATACTGGCAGAGTCGAGTAGTTTTTTTTTTATTATTATTTTTATTATGTTATGTTAGTCACCATACATTACATCATTAGTTTTTGATGTGGTGATCCATGATTCATTGTTTGCATATAACACCCAGTGCTCCATGCAGAACGTGCCCTCCTCAATACCCACCACCAGGCTAACCCATCCTCCCACCCTCCTCCCCTCTAGAACCCTCAGTTTGTTTCTCAGAGTCCATAGAGTCGAGTAGTTTTGACAGAGACTGTATGGCCTGCAAAGCCTTAGACGTTTCCTCTCTGGCTCTTTACTAAAAAAGTTTGCTGAACCCTGACAGAGAAGCATAAATATGGAGTGTTATTTTCCTAGAATGGCAAATTGGGCTGATAAAGTTGGTGCATGGGGCAGAGAAAATGCCAGAAAGAAAACAGGGGCCACATTTAAGAAGGTTTTGTCTTCAGAACTTTAGTTTACAAGTAATGTGTTGCCACTGAAAGGCTATGAATGAGGGAAGGGTATGATCCTCGGGAATGACATGATCATGTCTGTGTTTGAGAAGAAAACTATGCAGGTTGAGATAGGGCAGGATTGAAAGAGGAGGCCAAGCACAAGAAATAAGTATGGGAAGAGTATTCTGGGCCGGTTTTATTTTCCAAATAACCATGTGGTGATTTTCATGGACTCTCACAGGTTGAACTTTAAACTGAGTACCAGACGTGGAATCTTTTTCCTTGCCAGCAAACGTGTTTACTTTCATCTTTCCTCACTATCTGAAAAATACGCATTGCATTTCTTTGGATTCCAGACTGTACTGCTAGAAATATGGTTTGATAAAGAAAAAGAAAGATGCTGGGCTATGTCAAGCTTACAGAGGCAGGCTTCATGAATTTAAGTGTGAAATAGGAGGGGGTGAAATTTTCACACGGTTTTATTTATTTTCATTGTCAAAATTTAGGCTTCTTTACAGTGTTACACCTATGAAATCTAGAAATCATTTTAAAAAAATAAAATACAATCCTAGATTTAAAAGGCCGAAAGTGGTTGTGGGTGTTACAGTTTATCAGCCTCATATTTTATCCGTTCGTTTATACAACAAATATCAAACATCACTCCCTCCCTCTCTTTCCCTCTCCCTTCCCACCCCCCCCATATATATATAAGGCTTTGTGGAATAGGATACTAAAATATTAAAAATTATTTTCTGTTGAAGAGCTGGAGCAACATGTATGATATGTTAAAATAATAGTACCAGATAGAACATGATTATGCACCATAGAAATGCAGAGGAAGAAGCCATTGGAGTGGCCACGAAGATGGAAGGATTTGTTTAGCATAAAAAACCAGGGGAAGGTATTCTGGTAGAGGGCATAGCAGGTGAAAGTAGAAGAAGTTTTGATATAATAGGTACGCAGAGCAGGTTCATGTAACCAGTAGTTTAGTAAGTGTGTTCTATGTACTAAGCACAGTGCTACACCATGGGGAGATCAAGATGAATAGGACATGGTCCCTGCCCTCAAGGAGCTTACAGTCTGCTAGGGGGAGCAATTAAATAATTATAATAGATGTTGAGTTCTGTAATGCAGGCAGCATTACAACCCATCCTGCTGGATTGGCATGGTGAAGAGGGTTTTAGGGAATGTTTCTGTGATGGCATCTGTTGGCTGGAACATCAGGGGATAGACTTCTCCTGAGTATCCAAGACAGGTCTGGGACTGGTTCTAAGGTTGGGGGAGAAGGGAGTAGGGGATAGTGGTTGAGGGTGGGCTGGAGTCAAGGGTGGAGGGAGAAAGAGAGACAGAGATGGACTCATCTTCTCTTTTCTCATATATCAAGGGTCTCGGTCAACAAGTTCTGCCCTAGGGCTGTGTTTGCTACTGTTATTAGGTGCCCATGTCTCTCTTGTTTGTGTTTTACTGTATTAGTAAAATACCGTATCACCATCTTCTTTGAATAATTATTTGAAGATAAGGAAACATATGGGGACAACTGTAGTGATACATTTTCCTCTGCTTAAGGACTAGTTAGTTCTTATTGTGTGAAAAGAAAATACCAACCTAATAAAAGCAGAAGATTCTCAGGTTTTATGTCTCTTGACCCTGTAGCTTAACTTTAGTTTACCGGCCAGCAAGTGAACTGCATATCAATCAACAAAAATTAAATAACAGTAATTTCTTCTAAATTCAAAGAAAGCAATCTTCATGAAACAACACCAAATTGTCCGATGACCTCACTGTAGCTTACTGCTGGGGTATGTTCATGACTGATTACATATCGAGTGAACACCAGCCCAACAGTCGGAGACCTGGATGCTGATTCCAGCTCCCCTATTCACTAGGAGTGTGGTAAGACCCTAGGGACTCCCTTTCTCCAGGACTCATTTTCCTTTGATCCCAGGATCTCTTATGTCTCTTCCAGATCCAAAATATCATTTTGTTTTTATTTTCTTATAAGCTCAGAACACTTATCTTATAGTATCCTTGGGGCAAGTGTTCTTTTCATTATTTTAAAGTGGAATGATCTGGACTTCTGATAGTAAAAGGATCCAGTAGGACATGAGCTGAGAAATACAAAGCTCTTCTTTTGACAGCTAGCCCTTGGCATGGCTTTTTTTTTTTTTTTAATTGGTGTAAGAGGTCGAATTTAGTGATTCATCAGTTGCATGTAACACCCAGTGCTCATTATATCAAGTGCCCTCCTTAATGCCCATCACTCATTACTCCATCTCCCCCTGCTTTTCCAGAAGCCCTCAGTTTGTTTCCTAGGGTTCAGCGTCTCCTATGGTTTGTCTCCCTCTCAATTTTCATCTTATTTTATTTTTCCTTCCCTTCCCCCATGTTCATCTGTTTTGTTTCTTAAATTCCACATATGAGTGAAATCATATGATATTTGTCTTTCTCTGACTGACTTATTTTGCTTAGCATAATACCCTCTAGTTCCATCCATGTCATTGCAAATGGTAAGACCTCATTCTCTTCTGAGTAATATTCCATTGTGTATATATATATCTTCTTTATCCATTCATGTCTTGACGGACATCTGGGCTCTTTCCACATTTTGGCTATTGTGGACATTGAAGTTGGCATAGCCTTTGAGGAGCCATGAGAACACATGGCTTTCTGTTTTCTTGGTTGGAAAATGACCAGGGAAAGTCTTGGGTTGGCTTTGCTCCCAAACTGGAAGGACTCCACTGTAGGTGTGACTGACCAAATCCTTTTCCTCATTTTGTAATATCCAAGAACAATTGACAAGGACACTTTCTGAGTGATCATATTTGAAATAATCTTGACCACTTAGCAATTCATATAATGCATGCGACCTAGAGATTTTGCTTAGGAAAAGGAATCCTGGAGTGCCTGGGTGGCTCTGTCGGTTGAGTGTCTGTCTGCCTTTGGCTAGGCTCGTGATCCTGGGGTCCTGGGATTGAGCCCCGCACACCTGCTTCTCCCTCTCCTCCCTGCTCATGCTCTCTTCTCACTATCTCTGTCTGTCTCTCTCTCAAATAAATAAATAAAATTAAAAAAAAAAAAAGGAAAAGGAATCCTTTAGAATTTCTGACTTTGCAGCACTACTGGAGGAGAAGAATAAAAGAAGAATCCCTGAGGGGGTCTTGGTTAATGTCCATGACTCTTAGTTTGGGGACTGCAGAGTGGCAAACTTGGATTTACAGGTAATCTTAGGCAACAGGCTTCACCTCCAAGATTCAATGTCCTGATCTGTAAATTGATGAAATAGTACTTAGCTCATAGAGTTGTTGCAGTGTTTAAATTAAATAATAAAATGTATTGAGTGTCAAGCACACTGCTTGGTGCAAACAAAGTGCTCAAAACATGGTAGTCACTGCTGTTGAAGTCTTGACCACTTTATTCTATCTCATCCGTTTTGTGTCTCTAGTCCCAGTTGACTGCTAGGAAATATGATTATTGCAATCAGGTACAATTTTTCAGCATTATCTTTTCCACGGGTAATGAGAAACACCTTGGGCATGCTGCCCAGGAGAGAATTCTTCCTTTGGTAATATTCCATATAGTTCTCATACATTAATTTTGAATTAGAGTTGGAAGGGATGTCTGTGGTTACCTAGTCTAACCCTGGTTCCAGGTGACACATGTGATGGTTCAGTAAATTTGGTTTCTATTCAACACATATTTGTTGAACATTTGTGCTCTGCTGCCTGTTTATGAGATCTGATTGATCCAAACTA